ACCAAAGAATATAAATCTAATATATCGTAGTTTACCCGTACTTAGATGTGGTGACTGCATTACAGTTTTTGTTAGGATAAAAACATTATTTGCAAGTATAGAAAAATACCTGTTGACCTTGCCAGAATTCCGGTGTCCTTGCGACTTCCTGTGGACTCAACTGATGTCTCAGACAATGTTATCGCCTTTTCAGCTATCTTCTGAGAACTGCACAACACCTCCACTATGTTAAAGAGGTGAGGAGAAGGTGTTTGTAGTCCAAATCAGCAGAACAGCCAAGTACAAGGAGTGGGCAACCTCAGCACTTCAGCTGTGATGACATTTCTATTCCCATAATGTCACTGCCACTGGGATTAATGCCTGTGTCTATTAGTCTTGCAATGTCTCTTGGGACTTGTAGTTCCACAACAGCTAGAGTGCCGAGGTTGCCTACCCCTGGCCTAGGGTGATAACATTGCACCTCCATAGATACAGTCTAGTGAGTGAGCCTAAAAAGGAAACAAATGCATTCAGCACACACAGTATAGTACATTTTTGTGTTCAGATTAAGAAACACTTCTCTGGAATTTCCTATGCTCCTCTAGTTCCATCTATTGGCCATAATCCTATGCGAATGTGCAGCACAGATGTTCACAGAGCTAACAGCTAACTTCTCTGAATATTTTATAAATACATCCCCAAGTGTTCAGGGGTGTGGAAATTCTTCAAAAAACTACTTGTCCAAGGACTAAAGCGGGGGCCCAATCGTTTTGTCCCTCATAACAATCTAGCTGTTCTGATACAAAAACTGTATTTAACAATGCTAAGAAGTGCTTCTCTTTGGTCATCACCGTCAAGTGATGCGCTGACCAACGAATGCTCGCATTTTGCGAGTTAAATTCTAAATCCATATTGCATGGCTGCACTGGATGGCAGTATGGGGTACAGATAGTACATATGTACCGGCGGAGGTGAAGGACCGTTTGCTGAATGGCCAGTATAGGGGTGAGGGGGGGGAAGGGGCCAGATTTCAGCCGGTAATTCTATTTTCCCAAATTACTTGGGAAAGTGAACTTCCCCTTTTAATGCATATTGCGTGTGTTAGAGAGCGCTGCTGCCCGGGTACCACAATATGTCACAAGGTGGAATGGTGGTAGCACTCAGCACGCACACACAATGCCCGACACATGCGTTTTATTAA